AATTTGAATTATCTCATTTCGGTTATTCATACGTTACTTATAAAATTGTTTCAAATAATTTCAGTTAGTTTTTAAATTATTAAAAGTAAATATGTATGTACCTACTTCCAATAAATTTTTTTTTAAATAATTATTTTAAAACTATTTCAAACATGTTATATTGAGTGCTTCGAAAATGTTGCTGTGCTCTTTTTTCATTTTTTATTAGCAGGTAAACAAGAGCAATCTATTTATAAAATGTCCCTGCATGTGTATGTATGACCTATCTTAATTCTAAACGGAAAGAATTTTAAAATACCTGAACAAAATTTTTAAAATACCTGTTATTTTACAGTCGGAATTTTTGAGTCATTTGGTAAAATACCATTTATTTCAAAAATAGAAAAATATTCAAATCCGGTCATAAAAATATATGATTGTTTTTTCCAAACATTTTAAATATTTTTTTTTCTGAGGTAATTGATATAAATGATAGTAAGTTTTTAATATTTTTTCAAATAAAAATAGAGGTAAAATTTTGAAGTTTATATAAAATTTGTATTTAACAAATAATATTTGATTGTATTTTAGATATTATTTTCTAATTCCCTCTTCAAATTTTTTCTTTACTATGTATTTATATCAATATTTAAGAATTATCTTTCATTAATTATATTTTCAACTTGACACCACAGGTACTTCCCATATCTTGCGTTAACTTACCCTATGAGAAAAGAAAAGCTGTTCACTTAAAAATAATGAAATGCTTTCAGTAACAAATAAAACGTTGAAGGCGAAGGATGTGTTTGTTGTTTTTCCGCCTTTTTTTAAATTTTAAAACAATTATCAATGAAAATATTAATATATTTTTTTGATTTTTCAAATATATGTTCTAAATTTTACCTGCTTTATAATAAGTGTGAATTTATTTTAATATTTCTTCTCAAAAAATAGCCACTTCGATTTAAAAAAGGCCATATAAAATAAGGTGTGCTTTCAAGTTTCTCTCTGAGCATTGGGACTTGTTAGATATAAAGACATTAGTTTTGAAATTGTGTTCCATTCTGTGGCTGAGATATTATAAGTTTATTTTATTTCTTCAAAAACACACCCGAAATTTTGCTGTTGGAAAAATTATAAATAAAATTATAAATGCAAACATACATAATTATGAATGGATACCTGTTTTTTTTAAACTGTGGGTAAACATATAGGATTGAATTTTTCAAATAAAGAAAAGGTTTAGTCAAAAACAAAATAATAATTTATGTATGCAAAAATATATTTATGTATGCATATATGAATATATGTGTGTATGTATATATGAATGGATTAGAATTGAAGATTTTAAAATTTTTCGTTCCAACATATGAACGTATGTACATATGAATGTATTAGAATCGAAAATTTTGAAATTTTGCTGTTGGAAAAATTATAAATAAAATTATAAATGCAAACATGCATAATTATGAATGGATACCTGTTTTTTTTAAACTGTGGGTAAACATATAGGATTGAATTTTTCAAATAAAGAAAAGGTTTAGTCAAAAACAAAATAATAATTTATGTATGTAAAAATATATTTATGTATGCATATATGAATATATGTGTGTATGTATATATGAATGGATTAGAATTGAAGATTTTAAAATTTTTTGTTCCAACATATGAACGTATGTACAAATGAATGTATTAGAATCGAAAATTCTGAAATTTTGCTGTTGGAAAAATTATAAATAAAACTATAAATGCAAACATACATAATTATGAATGGATACCTGTTTTTTTTAAACTGTGGGTAAACATATAGGATTGACTTTTTCAAATAAAGAAAAGGTTTAGTCAAAAACAAAATAATAATTTATGTATGTAAAAATATATGTATGTATGCATATATGAATATATGTATGTATGTATATATGAATGGATTGGAATTTAGCATTTTACAGGTTTTCGCTCGAACAATAAAAATAAAATTTTAGGTAGATATATACGTACATAAATTGTGTATGTATATTTTTTTAAAGCTTGCTGACGAAACATAATATTCAAAACAATAACAAATGAAGTATTAATATTCAGTTGCCGCAAAACATCTGATGTCTTTTATAAAATCTGACATTTATTTAAGTTTATTTCGATTTTTCGAAATTAAAATATATGTGAGATCATTGTATTTTCGAATATTATTTATTTCTCGTTCTCGGTTTGTGTTTCTAATAATAAAAAGTATTATTTCATTTGCTGGTTTGCGTTTCTAGTAATATAAAGTATAAAAGAAAAAGGCGCTTTTGTTATACAAAATTTTTTTCAGAAAATGTTAAAATAGAGCTATTTCGGGGCTAAAAAGTTCCAATGTCAGATTTTTCTGGGACCCTAGAAGCAAAACTCTATCTAATGCCCTTTGTCCCATGCCTCTAGCCCTTCTAGAAGTACCCGTACTTTTTACCGCCTGAGAAGTAGCTATATATATATAAGTAAAATATGATGGTTTTTGATGAGTTATACGAAATATGAATAAAATATAGAATTATTAAGGGGAATTCAAAGTACTGCGTAGCCTAGTGGTTAGCGTGGTAGTCTCATAGCCAGAAGGTTACTGGATCAATGTTTGCCTGGATGTCGTCGTATTTTTATTTTTTTGCATTATTTTAAAAATTTTTTTTTTATTTTGTTTAAATTTTGTGTTTTATTTTTTTTTAATATATAACAGATAAATGTTATATAAAAGTTTAAAGAAAATTTCAAAAAAAATATTCTTACAATAGTTTGGAAAAATTCGCAAAAATTTTAAGTACATAAATATGTATGTATGTATATTTTTTTTAAAGCTTCCTGAGTAATTTTTTTAAGCTTTCTATATGAATTTAATAATATTCAAAACTGTAAAATATATAGAAATAAATTTTAAACGCATAATTATTATATCATGGGGGTAAACTTACAAAAATTAATATCTTAAATAAAGAAAAGGTTTAGTCAAAAACAAAATAACAATTTTATTCATATATATGTATGTATGTATGTATGTATGAATATATATATGTATGCATATATGAATGGATTAGAATTGAAGATTTTAAAATTTTTCGTTCCAACATATGTATGAACGTATGTACATATGAATGTATTAGAATCGAAAATTTTGAAATTTGGCTGTTGGAAAAATTATAAATAAAATTATAAATGCAAACATACATAATTATGAATGGATACCTGTTTTTTTTAAACTGTGGGTAAACATATAGGAATGAATTTTAAACATAAAGAAGAGGTTTAGTCAAAAACAAAATAATAATTTATGTATGTAAAAATATATGTATGTATGCATATATGAATATATGTATGTATGCATATATGAATATATGTATGTATGTATATATGAATGGGTTGGAATTTAGCATTTTACAGGTTTTGCTCGAACAATAAAAATAAAATTTTAGGTAGATATGTACATACGTACATAAATTGTGTATGTATATTTTTTTAAAGCTTGCTGACGAAACATAATATTCAAAACAATAACAAATGAAGTATTAATATTCAGTTGCCACAAAACATCTGATGTCTTTTATAAAAGCTGACATTTATTTAAGTTTATTTCGATTTTTCGAAATTAAAATATATGTGAGATCATTGCATTTTCAAATATTATTTATTTCTCGGTTTGTGTTTCTAATAATAAAAATAACGTAAAACGTATCATTTATTTCTTGGTTTGTGTTTCTAATTATAAAAAGTATAAAAGAAAAACGTGCTTTTGTTATACAAAAATTTTTTCAGAAAATGTTAAAATAGAGCTATTTCGGGGCTAAAAAGTTCCAATGTCAGATTTTTCTGGGACCCTAGAGGCAAAATTCTACCTAATTCCTTTTGTCCCATGTCTCTAGCCCTTCTAGAAGTACCCGTACTTTTTACCACTTGAGAAGTAGCTATATATATGTACATATATAATTACTTCGAATGACATATGTAATTTTACCAGATGCTATGTTTTTAATGAAGTTCTAACGTTTTTAAAAAAACACCGAGCTTTAATTGAAATTTTCAAGCAAACATTAAATTACGTAATATATTGTAAAAATTGTATTTCAAAATGTATCAAAAGCTATAGGTAGCAGTTTTTTGTACAATGTAAAAGTATTGAAAGCTCTGAGACGGTAATACAATTGTATTAATACCGTACTTAAACTTTTTATGAAGCATTATTGAAGTCGAAGATAGTCTCACTTTTCGAGTAAAATAGCGAGATAGACGTTCAGCACCATAAATAAAAAATTAAAAAAAGTCAAAAACTACATTAATACTTTTTTCTAAATTTGCCAGGCATTAAAATTATTGTGAGAAAAGAAGCTACGTTATAAATGCCTGAAAATGTTTTCATAGTTTTTGCCTCACTTTTTTAGTTTGATATGTACATATATGCCATTTTTTGAATAAGATTTGTTTTCAGTACAATTTTGTTCTATATTTTTAACATGTAATCGACTTTAATTGCCACCTCCGAAAAAATACAAAAGTACGAGATATGGGCAAGATTGATAATAATATTGTCCCTTAAAAATTATTGATTTAAATACGAATGAAGCATTGTTTTATACATACATACATATGTATATTGCTACATACATATATATGTGTACGTAGAAACATACATAATTTTCACACTTTTTTCATACTAATTTACAATACACAGGATGGTGCCTAATTTTGTATCTAATATTTTACTGGTCCCTGAATAAATATTTATCATTTTAAGTCTTTTTATAACTGTCATTTTATTCATTCAATTTTAAACTTTAAGTGAGCATTTTTCCTTAACACACAAGATTTCATTCAGACACTTTGTTTTGGAAACTGAACGTTTAGCTTAGTCAATATTGTTGCATGATGTCTTAAAATAAAATCTAATTTGAAAAATGGAGAATGTGATAAATGATATCTTTTATTGAAAAATAAAAATTCTTGAAATAATTTGAAAGTGGTTAAAAAAGGCCAGATGCGAAATAATCCTAACAGAATCAGGGTCAACATGCATTTTTATTTTCCATTAAAAATCATAAATATTACAATAATTTACACTACGCAATTAAAATTTTACTTAAATTAAGAAACTTCCCGCATAATTCATCCGATATAATTTCGTCAACTTTTAGATTTTATTTGTTATGTAACAGTTCAAGTCTCTGGAAAAACTAATGTGATATTCAACCACAACAATGTTTCTTCACTCTTGGTAATCTATCTTTATTTCTTACAAAAATTTATTTTTTCGATTCATTGAATATAACATATTATTTTTCTCACTTTTTATAATACATCGTATTCCAGAAAAACGACTAAAACTTTTCAATTTAGTTTAACATAATAACTTGTTCGACACTTTTTTATTTGAATTCAACGAAATTATTAAACCATAATTATTCAATATACAATACGTTATTATGGATGTCGAAGTAAATCCTTTTTTAAACTTCACACTCAAAATATGATTTATTAATACGCACAATGCAATGGAATAATCGGTAGCTACAATGAAATAAATCTTTAAAAAAAAGCTTGAATTTTTATAATTTTTAACAAATCTTTACTTTCTTTTTTTTACCTGCATTTAAATACATACCTACATACATACCAAAACGTATATAATGGAAAAATATATGTATGTATATTTCTTATTTAATAAAAATATAGCAAACGCTCTTGATCTGATACACTTAACATTCGCCAAGTTTTTTTTATGCTTATATATTGCAGAAAGGCCCGTATACATATAATAAAACCAAATGCCATTATAAGCCACCATAACCAGGAATTCGCATGTGGTGCGAGATCTGTAGAATTTTTTACAATTAATGTCCATTTCGCCAAAGATAATCCAAATCCTGAAAGTGCACCGTTACGAGCCGCAATAGTATGGCAAAAGCAAGTCATCATCAGAAATCCAATCCAATTAAATAAAAATGATGTAACAAAAGCAATTACAAATACTACATCTGTACCCAGCAAACTGTTGTCTCCCGTCAAATTTACGGCATCAGTGAGATCAATCCCTATAAAAGCTAAAGATGGTTGTGTTGGGGTTGTACTTATAGGCTCACAATTCGAACTGGGTTGCATTGGATGGTTTCCATCGGGTAAAGTTGAAGTTAGTTGCAAAGGCGATTCCCCGCATAAAGTTTTTTCTCTTTCAACATCTTCATATGTTGGTAAACGTGTCTGTCTCCCGTTTTCTTCGTAATAAAAGTTTTGGTTGCTGTCATCAACTTCATAAGGAGGCGGCGCACCAAAATCCGTACTGGGAGGAGCAATACAATCTACGTTAGAGTTTGTTGACATTTTATCCATGAATATTAGTAAATATGTTTAACTGATTTACTAAAACTTCCAGCGGCTACTTCAATTATTCGACATGACGCAGTGATAAAAAATAAATAATGACTCGAAAATTAAATACTGTTACATGTAACAAATTAAAATATCCAATTTAAGTTCAAAGAAAAATAAGTTTTTTTTTTCATTAATGAATTAAAACAGAGATGTGCGATATTCATATTGATAGAACAAAAATCGATTTGAAAAACATATTAAGAGTTAAATATCGAAATCGTTCTCGCGATAATCACATAACATAGATAGCCTTCAAATGTTAAAGATTAAATATTTTAAATATTCAGTTACAACAAAATTAATAAAGAACTAATAAGCTACGCGCTTTTTGTTTGTTACATCAAAGTTACCCAGCATTTACACATACAAGTTACTTGCATGCAAGTTTGTATAATATTAATTGTCAATTAGTTTTTCGAAATGTCAAATTACTTGCTATTATGACGTAGGCGTTTAGCAAGTTAATTTTTGAAAATGTCTTTGAGAAGAAAACAACTAGCAATATATATAATTGTTTATAAATTTTAGAAACCATAAGTTTGCTAAGTTTAATTTTTTCAAAATAAAATTCAAAAATTTTAAATTAAAAAAAAAAAAAATCAAAACAACAAATTTTTTTTTGTGAATTTCTCAATATGTCAAATTACTTGCTCAAATTACTGGCAGCAAAATTTTCTTGCAAGTTGAACTGCAAGTAAACAAGCAAGTAGAAATATTTCAATGTGTTAGTAAAATTTTTGTATGTATTGCAACTTTCTTGCAAGTAACTTGTACGTGTAAATGCTGGGTTAATTAAAATCTGTTAAAAATTCAGTAGATCTGCGTTCGTTTTTAACCTCAGAGCGTTCAAATCTAAAAATTCGTGCTTTTCATAGTAAGAGTTCATATTAATTTGAAAAATTATTAAATGACAGAATAAATTATTTCGCGTTCGTTTTTAAAATCAGATTTTTCACATTATAAAATTTTTTTATCTAATCAGGGAGTAATCTAACAACTCTCAACTTGACAAGATTTAGTCTTTGGGGAAAAAAGCGAAACCAAACCGCATTATTTTCGATCCTTCTGCATCAAATGTTTCTGCTTAAAATAAAAAATTAAAGATTAGTGTAATTTCAAATGCTTAAGCTTTATTAAAACTGGAACAAAAGTTTCAATTTTCCATTTTATTTTTTTTTTCAAAAACTATAACCAAAGAGTCGCCTACAAATCGTCCGGGTGCGGCTCAAGGAAAATTCACGGAAAATGTACAATTTGCATTGGAAAAATACCTCTCACGGCACTAATGTGCACATTCCAAGAGTAATGACCTCTTTCAAAAATAAGGCTATTTTCATACAAAAAATAAAGTAAAACTAATTTGTTAAATATACAAAAAAAGTTGAACTTTAATTTAAAAAAAAAGTAAACAAGACGGAAAACTTGAAAAAAACTTTAAATATTGTGAAAATGATAACGAGCGATATTTTTCCAATGCAAATTGTACATTTTTCACGCATTTTGCGTAAGCCGCACCTGGCCGAAGTGTAGGCGACTCAATATTTTAATGCATACAGACATACCAAATTAAAACGCAAAAAGCCAAACAAAACAGAAGCAAAAAAAAATTGTTAAAAAATGAGAAAAATTAAAGAAAGAGACTAAGAATAAGAAAATAAATACAAAAGACTAAAAATGTACTAATGTTCTACCAATGTTTGGTATCCCAGAATTGATTTTTTAAGCAGAAATTTATCTTGTTGATACATCTTTGTATTTTTAAAGCTTCGCTATCAAAGATTGACAATCATGATTCAGACTAAAGAAGATTGGTCGTGTAAACGTCATCAATCAATCTTTTTCATCAAACTTTTGATTGACGAAAAAAACAAAAATTGGTTTGGTTGGTTTTATTTCGTCAATTATTTCTGACAATATTCGAAACAATAATGTGATACATATGCAATATATATTTCGCAGTTGTATAAAAACTTTTGCTATTTGGAATTTGCAGTATTGTGTTTATGAACAAAAAATGTCGGAAACAGAAAAAATTAATCTATTTTGAGTCAAATAGAATGGAAAATTCTTCTTCAAGAAAAATAAAAATTTAGAAAAACAAAAAAAGAAAACTGAACAAAAACAAATTTTGTTATTTTTGAGTATAACAATTAACAATTAAAAATATAAAACGAAACTGCAAAAACTAATAAAAAAAAGTATAGCTGATTTAACTGCGTCAGCCATGATAATTTAAATATTTTTGTGATAAATCAGCAATTTTTATGAACAAACTTGATAAACAACATTTGTTTATGAACACAAAAAATATAGCGCAGTTCTCGCTATATATCGCGATATACTGTGTTTATGAAAATGCCTAAGCTTTTGAATAAAATGGGCTGTAAACAACATTCTTTTTTTGTTGCGTTTTGTAATTTGATAGTGGAAAGCTAGTTTTTTAGGTTTTAAATTTAAAGTGCCTATAAAAAGATTGAGGTTAATTGTCACGTAAACGTAAAGTCTCATCAATCTTCGTCAGCCTAAATCGTGATTGTTAACCTTTATTAACATGTAAATGTTGCCTCACTGAATCGCTAGAATAATAAACTACCAGTAAGATCTATCTTTCTTTTTCTTTGTAGTGCACTAGCTACTAATTTTCTCTAAAAAAAATTATAATTTAGGAGCTTATTGGGAATTAAATTTGGGAACATATTTTAATAAGCACCAAATTTTTTTTTTTACCAGGAGGAAGGGTATCTCGAAAGAAAAAGAGTAGTGTAGAACTTTAATCCACTAAAAAACACCCTCCTAAAAATAAATTATAAAACTAGTCGGAAATGACTAACCATAAATTTTTTGTCAATACTGATTTCACTTCGTTAAGTTTTATATTCCACTTTCTAGTCCATTTTGAGATATCATCATTGGATTTTTGTAATTTTTGTGTAAATTCATTTTCATTTCGTCCTATTGCAATATTCTTAAACGAAGAGTACTCCGCTTCTTGTTTAACTCGCAATACCCTATTAGTCAGGTAAAATTTGAGCAGGGTAACATGCTGCCTTAGTAGTAATTGTCTAAGTTTTTTTATTTATCCACAATGCCAAACCTTATCGAAGGCCTGGGCTATGTCCAAAAATATGATAGAAGATATTGATTTTTCTTCCAGTGAGTTTTCTATTAGGTCGGTTATTCGATAAATCTGATCTATGGTTGTGTGATTTTGGCGAAAACCAAATTGATGATTCGGGATTAGCTTTTTACTTTCAATTATTGGCTGAAGCCTTCTCAGTAAAAGTTTCTCTCGCAGTTTTCAAATCATCGACAACAATGAGATTGGTCTGTGAGATTGGTTTGCTAGGTTTGTGCAGCATCTCTGTAATTTTCAAATCTAGTATATAGCGAAAATAGTTAATGCCATCCCTTCTAATTGCATTAATTTTCGAACTATTCCAAGCCGCATTTTGAATAATTTTAGTAAAATTTTCGGCCTCTTCATTCTTATCTTTCTTATTCTTTTTCTTACATCTATTAGTCGTTCAATTTCTAAACGAGATCTTGACAAATCTGTAGTTTCGATCGGAGTTAAGGTCATAGTTATTATGTACCTCAGTAAAATTTTTCACAATCAGTTTTGTTATGGAGAAATCTATTAAATCTGGACACTTATTAACATCGGTTGGCCAATACGTTGGCTTCACAGTAGAGTGAAAACTGCCGTCCTAAGTTCTCTTCTTCTAGTTGAAGTATGCATTAAACCCCAATCAGTGTGCTTGGCGTTGAAGCTACCCCCAATACAAATCTGTCGCCTAGGTCACCCAGAAACGCTTCTGCCCTCATTTTCAATTTGAGGTGACAATATAACGCAGCCACTCTAAAATTTTGCTTAGCCGAAGTGGTCTGAACCGCCGTCATTTGCATTCCCTCAGCTTACATTTTGTGTAGATCACAATGCACTATATTTTCTTTTATTATTATCGCCGTTCCGCCTTTCGCTTTATTACCAAGGTGGTTAGAGTTGTAAATTCTATAAGCTCAAAACTGAATCCTGCTTCTTAACGTCATATGTGTTTCAGTTACGAGGCACACGTCTATATTCTGTGTATGTAGAAAAAATTCAAGCATGTCCTTTCTATTTGCAATACCATTGCAATTCTATGTTACTATTTTAAAATTACTTCGTGCCATCATTCACCAGTTTTTTTTGTATTAGATTTTTTCTCCTTGCTATCTAAAAACCTCAACCTCTGAGAGATTTTGTCCCTCATATCTAGCATGTTTTGCATGATACTTTGCATTTTATACAAAACATTTACGTCATTAGCCCTTTCTTTATTGCTCGTCTTACTGTCATCGGTTTTCGTTTGGAGAACATCCTTGTATGTTACCTCTTCTGATACCATTCTCGAGGTGAATTGCCTCGGTTGCTCTCGAGGTGAATTTGCTGCAGTACTCTTTGGCTTACTATAATCTGCGGTTAAGTGACTGCCTGCACATTTAACACAATTTGGTTCTCGGTGGCAAAATTTTTGCGTTTGCCCAAATCTTTAACACCTTTTACGCTGCGGAGTGCTACTACTCGTTTCCTAACTTTCTTTCTATTTATGTGATCGATTTTATAAATTTTTTTAATTTTATTTGTTACATCCAAGATCTTGTAACCCCTAGAGCTTAAGTATTCTTTTATATCTTTCGGGTTACAACTGAAGTGAAGATTTCTTACCATGATTTTTATTGGTCTGGCCCGTTTGTTTTCATAGGTATGCCATTTTAGACCAGATCCATTCATGGCCCTGGTAAGATTCCTGTAATCCATTTCGGAATTTATAGTGAGCTTAAATTGATTGTTATTCATCATTTTAACCTTATATTTGATGTCACAATTTTTTAATGTTTACTCTATTAGATTATATTCAACTACATTACTTACGATTACTGGAGGCGGCCTAGAGTTTTTCGTGACATCGCCAGGATTTTTAGAATTGGGAACATCCGCTTTCTCAGTGTTGATCGTCACCTGAACCACTTCCGATGATGATTCCGCTTTTCTTTTTTTCTGCACCTCTTTTGCTTTAGGATAAAATCTGCTTCCCTGGTGAGTTCCTCCTCATGTGTTGAGTAGGCGTCTAAGATTGACCTTACCTGCTTTGCTTGTGGTCTAACGT